ATGTTTTGAAAAAAAAATTGAACTCAGATTTATCGTATCTCGGAATCCCATAATATTTGAAACTTGAATTTAGGTGCATTAGCAGTCCATAGTTTGAACAAAAATCAGTAATTTTACCAAATTAGTAACAACTAATGATTGAGAATCTTAGTGAAGTACTGAGGGAGGGTTATTTCTATCAAATTGCAAAATCTGTGCAGGCAAAACCACAGGTAACAGCTAGTATACAAATAAATTTCCAGACATTGTAGTAGTAGTAATAGTAGTAGTAATGTGCATTCTACTTGAAAATAATGTTATCAGTTTAAACAATCAATTGAATTTCTTATAAATATTTTTAATGAATTGTATAAGAAAACATTTAATTAAAATTAATTTTAATTTTTAAATAGAATAAGGTAATAGTTAAATTTATATTTATGTAGTTTACTATACTTAAAAAAAAAATGGGATTGGATCAGTTTTAGTGAAAGTTTTTTTTTCATGTAATGAGATGATTACAGGAATATATATGTACAGTATATATTTGATTTTACATAGTTGCCAACTTTTATAATGGGGAATAGCTGGGACATTGGTAGAAAAACACTGCATTACTTGCTTGGCACATATCCAATCAAATTTTTTCTTATATTTCATTTTTAAATTAAGTTGCAGTTTGTCTGTTAATTTGGTAACACCCAAGTTAATGTCCACAAGGATGTTAAGATCTTGTAAATATATTTGATTTTCTAGTTGGATGAGCTCATACAGAGCTTTATATTTTAAACCCTTGGTGTATCTGACTGACCTATTTAAGCAAACTCCTTGTATCCTTCTCCTCGAGGATTTGCATTCTTCCGATAGCTTGATGCGAAATATTGACATCGGGTACACTCCATTTAATTTGCACTCTTTCAGGAATTCTAACCTGGCATTCATTCTCACCACTTTAATAGATATCTTCCTATACCTTTTATAAAATGTGGCCGGTGACGCCATTTTATATTTCAATAAACACTCAGATTCTTCAAATACTTTGACTCCAACACCTTATGTTTCCGAGAAGTAATATTTATTATCCTACAAACGTTTTCTACCTGCTCCACAGGTATTTTTAAATTCTTGGAGTGTTTCTTTGCATCGGTTCCAGGTTCGAACATTTATGTGAAACAAAATTCAAATTTCTATATCCGTTCGAACAATTCGTTTAAATACAAAAATATAAATGATAAATAGAACTAAATAAAACTAATTAAATACATGGATCCAATTAAAGTAAATAACATAAAGTAAACAAACTACACAAAGTCACTTAATATAAATGCAATAAAAAATATATATCCATACAATAAACATATTTATATGGACTGATTTTTGAATAAAAATGCTGACAGTATAAAAAGTGAAAAAATTTGTTATTAACATTTATATAGCACTTATATTGCTTATACAGTGCTTATATTAAATACCTTTAATAAAAAAAATTTAATGATACCTCTGCATATGATATCTTATAAAGCTATTGCCATAAACACTGTCCAGACTATGGCAATAGCCTTACACTCTTTAACATCACAATTTCAAAAAGGTCAAATATTTTATGGGACATATCATAAATCTACTAGTTATGTGCCGGATCATTAAAAATGTATATCCATGGATACAGATACAGATCATTAGTGTCTAGATCCACGGATACGGATCTCAACTTTCGTACTCAGTCAGTGCCGGTGAATTTGACCTTGGACCAATAGTTGATGCTTTGCATTAGTAATGTGATGTGTTTTGACTTGCACTGCATGTGTTTTGTTTATAGTTTAGTGTGACATGGGATAGCATAGATTTTTGGAGAGTGTTGAGTTAAATTAAAATGAAAACAATGTTGACAAAAAAGTTTAGTAGTGTAATAATGAAATATTTTACGAGCGCTAAGATGGCTTTTCTTTTCCAATAGACTTATTACACCATCAATGAAGACTTGAGGATGCAATTTATTATATCTGCCACTGCCATTTAAAATTATCATATTTGAACTTTAAAATACAGTATTTAACTATTTCTAAGTTAAATAAAAACTAAAATTTGAAAATTGGTCTTCATGTATGTTCTTAAAGATAACAGTAACGAAATAATTAAAACTATTAATATAGATTGTGTGTTTCAAACTGTTTTCAGCAAGTACCACTTCTAAAATCTGAAGTTAACTAACTGATAATGTAAGGAAATAATTATATTGAGAAGTAATGAAATTCATATGATTAATACTAATCATAGATGCTTTAATCCAAACTTTGATCAAAAGAATATTGTAAAAATGCATTAAAAATGTTTAGTTTGTAAATCATTCTTCAAACTATTGTGATGACATATTACTCTAATGGAAAAGCTAGTGGGCAGTATATTATGCCATAAATGATTTAAACTTAATGGGCAATTTTAAATGTAACATATTCTAAGTGAATACATTTCACATATAATCTGCTACATTTGTAAGTGTCATCAGAGATACACTTACACTTCATACAACATAATAAAACTCATGTTTGATTTTTAGTTGGAATTAAACTTTTGTATGTGACGTAGGAAATTATTTTTTGACTATGAAAAAATATAAAATATACTGATTTGTTATACATTTTTAAAATGATTGATATATTCATCTTTATTTTCTGAATATATTTTGCTACAGTTGAAGTCATAGATGTGAATTTTTCTGCAATCAATAACAATATTTTAGATACAGATTATTATTTTATAATCATACTGAAGAGCAACAGATGTCAATCAATTGAAAATGATAAATGTTTTAAAATCTATTAAAAAGGATTAAGAGTAATTACTCTCAACTTTTTATAATTTCCAAAGTCAGGTATTTAATTATTAAAACTATATTAAAAATATATAAAATTTGATAAAATTCTTAGCTATTCCTGACTCTTCATCTGAGGTGAAATTTTAAAACAATGTTAAAAACTTTAAAGAATTAAAAGCTAATGGCTTTCTTTCTTCAGTAACATATCACACAAGGATCAGTTGATTAAAAAAACACAAAAATATTTTTGTGTTTTTTTAAAGGACTGTTTGGCGGCCAGTAGCCTAAAAGAAAAGGTCAGTCGCCAAAAGTGTAATGTCTGGAACACAAAGTTAATAAATGGTGGTTCCTATTTTTTTGGAAAGGACTTTGTCTTCAAAAGAATTAATCATAATTATCTTCATTGGATGAAAATTTACAAAAAAAATTTAATTTGGGTAATTATAATGAACAATAAAAACAGATGCATACAAATTTACTTTATTTTTGTCATATATATTAAAAAATTATAATGGAAACAAAATGTTTTGTTTAATGGGAATTCTGGTGATGTTTATTTGATGATAATTTTTCTCAGTTTCACGATTAATGGCCTTTAATTAAGATTTTTATGACTGATTTCCACTTTCACACTATAATACAGGTTTAAAACTTATTAATCATCAAAACAGCATTTGATAAGAACCTAATACTTCGATGTCTGTATCTCGAAATCACTGCATGGGTCACACATTTGCCATCATTAGTATAAGTTATACAATAGAAATCCTTGTAGGTACCAGAAATAAAAATAATAAGTTAATTAAATGCATTACTGGGCCATAATACAACTTATAATGGAAAAATATATTTTTAATAATTTGTCAGATGTCTGTAAGTGATTCAGTTTATTTAAAAAAGTGTAATTTTAATACAGAAAACAAAATAATTTTGATACAAGTAGTATCATTTTGTTGGTGTATATACAAATAGATAATCAACATCAATTGCCATAAACAGAGGGGAAAAAAATGTAAGAGAAAAATAAATTTCTTTCTCTTTTGATATGGATCAGAAACGTTATTATTGATACTTTTCTAATGTATTAATAAATATTACAGCTGTCAACCGCCCTCCATTGAACAGTATTATTGATAAACAGAAGGCTGGAAAGTCCCGTCTGTTTATCAATAATACGTCATTTTGAGCAATATAGCTTTAATTATTTGTTTCTGTTTAATTGTTACGTCATTATCGTTGAAATTTGATCGACGGATGACGATCCAATATTTTATTTTCTTATTCTAAAGTAGTAGTTTCGTATTTATCGTTCCATAGAGTAACAGAAAGATAGACACACTACTATTCAGAGTGGAATAAGTGAATAAAATTTAGAACCCTCCTGTGGTAATAATAATAACAATGGGCTTAATTAAAAACCCTCATTGATAAAATTATGGATTCTTACCATTACGCATTTTCTCGTAACTTTTTTTCTTTTCAAAGGCACATATTTGATATTCATTTCCAAAACACGTCTAATATTCTCTCGCTGACCCGTATAAACGCTATAAAGAAAAAAAAAACAAACGTAGGACTACTTACCGAGTGTGCACAGTTCGAGACGCCATCGCTTAAGCTTGTTTCCGTCGTGGAGTATGACGTTGGATGGCGGAGGCCTATACGACGTGTGACGTGTTCCGCTTGGCGTCACTTTGTCACGTGACTTCCGAGAAATGTCGCCGAGACCAATGAGAAAGACAGGACCTTTAGTCACGTGAACAACTTAGTGCTGTGCAGTGTGTCTTTCGTTCAGTGTTTTTCGCTACTTGTTTACTCGAATTTCGAAAGATTAATTTGGATTCGGAGGAAACAAATAACTAAAGATTTTACATCAGTTTCGTTTTAAAAAATTCCTTTATAAGTTAACATTATATAATATTTTAGGGAAGTAAGTATTCGTTTGAAATATATTAATATATGTTGATTGGTTTTTATAATTTTTTTTTACTCGAATTATCAATTAACAATAGTCATTTTCTATATTTATTTAACCTTATTTATTAGTAACCTTATTAACCTTAGTAAAATAGTAAGGTTAAATATTTTATTTAAGACTTATCAAAACTTAAATAGAAGTTAATTTTTTTCTGTGTTTATGTGTGTGTACAATGTACTTAAAAATAAACTTATAACGTAATAATTATTGATATATATTACATTACAGAAATGTAGAATTTTACAAAATGCCGAGGTGTTGTAGTGTCGGTGGCTGTAGAACAAATTATAGAAGTGAAAAGAAAACTTTTTCTACCTTTTGTTTACCAAAAGAGCCACTGAGAAGTATTTGGCTGCAAAAAATTCCTACGGATCTGTCTGGATTAAAAAACCCTATAATATGTATAAAACATTTTGACGAGTCGAGCATTATTAGAATTGACAAATGCCTAGTGAAAGGTCAGTTAAAAGAATTTCCCAGAAAAATTCCGAAATTAAAAGAAGGAGCCATTCCGACAATTTTTCCAAATATATCTAATTATTTAAGTAGTGAAAAGAATACATGTAAAAGACTTGAAGATGTAGGGGAGAGAAATCTTCGAGAAGCAAAAAAACACAGGAATCTTTTGAAGTATGAAAAATACAAAGAAGATAGGACGATTACATATCCTCAAGATGTTGCAGCACATTACAAAGTAAGAATCCAGGAAAAAGTAATTGGACATTACCACAAAATGAACAAAAATTGGTATAGATACATAGCCTTAAATACTCTAGCTATAAATTTGCTAATTTTAATAATTAATACTATGCAATTTGCTACTAGAGTTAGATGTCATCTGTTATCTAAATTGATAATTATAATTTTTTAAATAATTTAGAATCATCTGGAAGAAAGGAACTGGCCCAGAGTGGGGGCTTGAACCTGCAACATCTGCTTGCTAGTTGCACCACCCAGATCCCAAGTATTCCTTCACCCGCTCAGATTTATAGCCTGAGTATTTAAGACAATCGTTTGGCTATGTATCTATATTTATATATTGGGCTTTGGGTTGTTAATAAACTTAAAAATTAAGTATTGTGTTATATTAATAATTCTGTTGACTTCCAATTATTTAGCCACTTACTATTGATAACAGTTTAAGTTTTATTTTATAATTGTTAACATAAAGCACAAGTAAACTTCCAAAGAATTATTAATTTTAAATTTAAAAAATTCTTTAGACAAGTTAATAACATTCATTGACTCATCATCATCAACATTGTTAATGATGATAAAGTTAAATTCAGTCATGTAATTAAATTACTATAATCCATTTTATATTATATAGCACAGATTCCAGAACATCACTTATTTGTGAACAGGTAGAATTTGCTAAAAAATCATGCAATAATAGATGATATTGAGGCACACCTAAACTTGTTGCTGTAAGTTATATTTACCCTGCGTTTCTTTATGCAGCGCTCGAGAAGTGCTTTACAGCGAACACACTGAAACTGGTTTCTAATTGGCCAACACTGCTCGTGACGTCATTTCGTTACACTCTCGCTGCATAAAGAAACACGGGGATACTCATCTTTTGCATATAATACTTTGTGTCAAAGTAAACATTTATAACTTTTCCACCCAAGAAATATAAAAAGTATATTAGTCAAGTATTTCTTTTATATACAGTAGAGCGTCGATTTTCCGAAAGTCAATCATCCGAAAGGTTTCCAGTCGGCAAATTTAAATTTTCGCCAGTGCTGTGGAGCTTCAATCTTTGGCTATGTCTTGGGCTACTCAAATATTTTACATTTTTGATACTAAATTAACATCTGAAGTATAATTTTTTATTGTTTTTATATTTTTCAATATATTTATTTTGTTTGTACAAAATAAAAAAATAATTTTTAACGATACAATAGTCTTTGTTAGGCTTAACATCGATGAAAATTCAACGCGAAGCGACACGCAACGGAGAAAAATTTTGAGATCGGATACGTTAAACTATTTTTTCGTACATAAATCGGTTATCCGAAATATCAGTTATACGAACAACCTCAGTCCCCAATTGATTCGGAAAATCGACGCTCTACTGTACTATTTTCTATTATTTATTATATAAACTCAGAAAAAGTTGTAGTGAATATTAATGTGTGAAATTTAAGAGAAATGCAAACATGTTCTTAATATAAATATGATGAGAGAATTCTTGTATAAATAATTTTTCTAGAATATTTACTGTAGCAGCAATTTACTATATTTGCTTTTTTCAAGCAAAATCTCATGAGATAATGGTGATGCCCACATTTGAATGAAAATGAGGCAGAAGCTGTCACTCTAATGTATGTTTGTTTATTTTGTTAAGTTATGGCAATGCAACACTTGGGTGATCTGCCTAGTAGGGAGGTCTTTCTAAGGGTAACTGATCCCTATTCAGGTGTTACAGACATGGAGAAAACCCGGAAAAATCCACATTGCGAGGCACAAACCTATGACCAAACTCTCAGTATTCAGGGAAGAGAATCACTTAGTCACTGGTGGACCACACACTATTAACTATCATTGCTTACGTGTTCTATTGGCAAAGTGTGCATGTTTTTACTATAATTATTTGAAACTTACCAGCTTTTCCAATACATTCTGTTCAAAATATAGTTGAAAGAATATCTTTTTATTTATCTATTTTTAATTTATTTTTAAAAAATTGCAAAAAATTTTATTGCATTTAAAATAAAAAATAATAATTATAATTAGTTTAAAAATATTTTATTTAGCCAACTTTGGTTAATTTTAATAAAAATTGAAAATTTTCAAGATATAAAAGAAATTAAAATAAAAAAAAATTACAGTAATACTAGAATTAGTGTTTTAGTAATCAAAGAAATTATAGCTACAACTAGCCTTGATGATGATATAATATTAATTGAGAATATTCAACTTATTTCATTGCCTGCATCTAGTTTTCCAGGATTAAAAAATAAGTTAAACATAGTTTTAAATAAAGCAAAAACGGATATTTTCTTTTCTATTTGTTACACATGAAATGTGTGTGCAAATTGAAAAAAACAAAGATCAATGGCAGTGTGAAGATGGCACAAATTAAAAAAATTTTGTCTATCATCTAAATTTGGTGAATAGTAATCAATTTTTTGAAAGAAAAGAAAGGTTTTTAGTAGGTTACAAAAAAATTTTAGAGCAACTGCAGCTATGAAAAGAGGACTTGTAATGGAGCCAGAAATGATTAGATTATATTCCCAAAACAGAAATTGATTGGTTGACTAATGCTGTGTGTACAAATGTGGACTATTGATTAATTCAAATTTTCCTTTGCTTGCAACATCTCCAGATTACATACATTTTGATCCTCAAGAAAATCCACCCTTTGACATTTTGGCATAAAAAGTTGAACAAAAAACAATAAATAAAATTGATTGTTTAACTTAAGACTTGTGGATGTAAGCTGAAAGTTAACCACAATTACTATTATCTGGTTATGGGCAAATTGCAATCCACTCACTTGTCAGTCTTCTCCATAATGTATGAGAAATATATGGAGAAGAATTTAATGCTTAAAAAGTTTTTTTGATGACAGTTTTTTTACAAATGTAAAGGTAGAATTAGACAAATATATTTTTAATTATTTTCTACCTTCATTAGCTAATCTGCATTTATTCCATACATTTTGCATAAGTTTTAATTCATCTCAAACAATAAATTTTCCTGAAAAAAATTTACTGATAGGCAATAAACAGTCCATACTTGATATATAGTACCCATCATAGACAAAGGTATAAGGTGATCAAATATATGAAATTCTTTAACTCTTCTAATTGCCCTTTCAACACCTTTCTTAACCATGTAATCTTTTTAGTTTCATTGGCATCATGTGCAGTGAAATGACCATTTTATCCAAGAAAAGGAGGCATATTTAATGATACACTTATTTTTGATAATTCATTTTCAATTAAATAAACTTTTATCTGCCATTACTTCATCACCTAATAAATCAAGAATACCACTACGTATTATGTCTATGATACCTGTGTATAAAGTAGAAACAAATGAAATACCAATTAACCCTTTAAAAGTATAATTACTTTTATAATTTGAATATAACTGTGTTTGAAGAACTGTGGATGATGGTCTCTGCACAAAAATTTCTGTACAGTCTAAACTTACATGTGTGTTTGCATATGAATCAGCAACAGCTTTGGGCATTGAATCATTCACTACATTTTTTGTCAGGCCAAACATACAAACAATTCATCCAGTAGTTTATAATTCTGCTAACAATTGCAGGAGATACATTATATCTTATTGCTAAATATGTTATAAATAATCCTTGTTGTAATCTTACTAAACACAGAAATAATTGCTCAGATTCATCTAGTAATTTTGGACATTTTAATGTTTGAAATCTCAAATCATGAGTAGCTTGTATAATTCTGTACAGAAATCTGTCTTTTCATCTTTGAATCCTGTATACAACTGAACTAGTTTATCATCCTTTAAAATATTTTCTAAGCAAAACCTGTATTGTTTCAACTCATTAATTATTGTTTTTTGTATATCAATACAAATTGTTAATTCACCTATTTTTTTCTTGAAGTCAGCAATTTCACCATTATTAACTGCTTATGAGTTATCATTTTTATCTTCTGCTGCAGCTTCATTTATGTTTTCTGCACTTTGTAATTCCAGCTGTAATTCATTGTCATCAATTTTATTTTCAGATGATCCTAAGGATTCTGGTTCTTGTATGTAACTTTCAGATAATACTTTGGAATAGGTATGATCAACAATGACTGCAGGGATAGATATAACCTCATTGTTCTCTTCTAAAAATATTATTATTAATGTTAATAATTGTTTACGAATCACTAATTAAAATTTCTTATACTGTATATGTACCCGAAACACTTGTAACACCTCTTTCACACCTGCTTCTTTCAGCTATTTTTACTTAAGAATTCCAACGAAAAATACTGGGAAATGTTTTATTGTCAAATTTTCTCTCATTAATATATGTTGGAAATCATCAGGTTTAAAATGTAAAGAGCAAACATTAAGTGTATTGCTTAAAAATAATTACCATTATTTTTTTGGCAGAGCTATTACTAGTATGAGGCACACAACATTGTTGCCCCATTACTATCTGATTTCCTCAGGAGCATAAACTCAAGCAGCTTGAGCTTTGCTTCTATTTACAGCCGGGAGCTGTTGTTACCGGAAGTCTCGCAATCATACAAAAAGGCAAATACAGTAGGTGTACTCTGGTAGTACTAAGTCAATCACGTGATTTGCCTGTCTTTCTCATCGGCCTCAGCCACACATTTCTGAAGAACTTCTTGGACTCCGAAGAGACCGCAGACTATGGTTTGAATAGAACTGTGTTAGAGCACAATTGCAAGTTCAATGGGCAGTGTCAGGCAAAGTGTCAATTTATCTCTCAAACTTTGTTTTTAATTTTTTTAAATAAATTATCAGTGTCTGTAATCTGTTAAAATTATTTGTAAGTGAATAGTTAAAATAATGAAAAGGTAACCCCACTTTATGATTAAATTAAATACTATTAATTTTGGTACGCTTGTAATAAGAACATCGCAGAAAAATCCATTCATTAGTAAGACAAAGCACGAGAAACGTTCAGAATGAATAAAATTAACCGTGTTACGTTAGTCCTTTCCCTTGTAAGTCGAACATTGTTTT